AAAAAAAAAAAGAAAGAAAGAAAGAAATAATCTGCTTAATTTTGGATATCTTTGTTTGGTTTGGGTACTAGGGTAATATTGACCTCAAAGAACGAGTTGGCAAGTGTTCCCTCCTCTTCTACTTTTTTGGAAAAGCTCATGAAGAGCTAATATTGATTCTTTAAATGTGAATCTATCTCATCCTGGGCTTTTCTTTTTGGTCAGTTTTTTTGATTACTAATCAATAGGTCTAGTCAAATTTTCTATTCTTGAGTCAGTTTTGATAGTTTGTTTCTTTGTTGTAATTTGTCCATTTTATCTAGGTTATGTAACTGGCATAGAGTTGTTAATAGTATTCTCTTAAAATCTTATTTCTGTAAGGTTGGTAGGGATAGTCCTTCTTTCATTCCTGATTGTAGTAATTTGAGTCTTCTGTATGTTTTGGTCAGTCTAGCTAAATGTTTGTCAGTTTTGTTGATATTTTCAAGGAAACTTCTGGTTTCACTCACTAGTTTCACTCATTTTCTCTATTCCAAACTACTTTTCAATGGAGGCTCTGAAACCTACTTGAAAGTATAGAAAGTTAGTAAACTCACCTGATCCAAGAAATTTGTGAAGTTTATGAATCCAAGTCAGCCCAACACTATGTACACCAGCTTCATGAGTACAGTGATATCTTGAAGAGCACTTAGGATCTAAAAATGAAATCATTAATGATAGTAAAGGTAGCCATTAGAACTAAAACAATTTATATCAGTAGCCTACAAACACATTTGTTGATGGAAGACTTACAGGACTTCTGAAACATTGTGGCACTGTTAGGGGGTGTGAAATAAATTTTTTTTTTTTTTTTTTGATAAAGACAGGGTCTCACTTTGTTGCCCAGACTGGAATGCAGTGGCATAATCATATCACTGCAGCCTAAAAACTTTAATTTTTTTTCTTTTTGAGTCAGAGTCTCACTATGTTGCCCTTGGTAGAGTGATGTGGCATCAAAGCTCACAGCAACCTCAAACTTCTGGGTTTAAGCAGTTCTCTTGCCTCAGCCTCCCAAGTAGCTGGGACTACAGGCACCCACTACAATGCCAGCTATTTTGTTGTTGTTGTTGTCACTGTTGTTTAGCAGGCCCGGGCTGGATTCGAACCTGCCAGCCCTGGTGTATGTGGCTGGTGCCTTAACCACTGAGCTACTGGCACTGAGCCTAAAATTTTAAATTTGAAGTCAGTTTTCAAATATATTTTAAGTAAAGACATACCTCAGAGATCTATACCATAGCAGTGAAGCTAGTATTGCAATAAAGCAAGTCGTGCAAGTTTTTTGGTCTCCCAGTGCATATACAAGTTATGTTTATACTATAGTATAGTGCTAAATCAACAGAAAAGTCTTAATATTGGAATGTAAAAGAAATTTTCTAATGAAAAAAAGGCAACATTTAATTAATGAAATAGGAAATTTTTAGCTACCACTCTGTTTGATACACTATAATTTTACTTTTGTCACGTAAGAAATCTGGGTATGTATGCTTCAGTGTTTGTAATATGCCTTAAGCATAAATGTGAATGAGTCAAAAATTTCTTAGCTTCAGAAAAGAAAATGTTACTCTTTTTAGGAAACCAAGGGGAAAAAAATCTACACTTAAGATTCCCTGAAAATATATGTATCTGAAACCAATTAGTTTATGTCACTTTACCTCACTAGGTCTACTTCTTCATCCATAAAGTTCTTAGACTAAATATAGAGACTATCTCTCAAAACACTTTAATTAGATATGTCCCATATGAGTGTTCTCTTTGCTGTTTTATCATATAAAGAATAAACCTCCTTAAATGTTTTGGCTATAGTTTAGCACAAAGTTGAAGTCATTATTACCAAACCTGGGTAATGAGACGTATAAGCACATTAGGTCCAACTGGTCCCAGATTGAAATCATTCTATGTTGCTGTGAAAAATAGAATTTCACTCTTTTTTTAAATGCCCAACTCGTATTCCATTGTGTATATATATCATGTTTTCCATTTGTTTGCTGGTGGACACTGGGTTGATTCTGTACCCAGAAGTGCAGATATCCCCGTGGGTACATACTGGTTTCCTTTCCTCAGGACATGTACCCAGGAGTAGGACAGTATATGGCAGTGAATGAAAGGCCAAAAGAACCAAGACAATTTTTTAAATGCTTGAATCACAGAAAAATAAAATATGTGGGAAAAGTCTGTGGTCTTAGTATAAGTATTATGGGATTAAAAAAGCACTAAATTTACTGAATCTCTTACCTCTGTGAAGTTTTATTGGACAAGAGAAGTCGGAATCAAAGGGATCTTCCTCCCCAGAAGCCAGTTTTAAGGCAAGCTCTAACTCGACACATTCAAACACATACAGAGAAGGGATGAGGTCGGCCCTCGAGTCCCAGGACTTTTCTGACTATGAAACAAGAAAGTGTCGTAAGAAAGAAACAGGGGAGGCTGGGGTGCTGCATGCCCCAGTTGTCCCAATTGGATTAATTCACATTATGTGCCTGTGTCAAAACATCACATGTAGCCCATAAAGATAAACAAGTATTATGTACTCATAATAATTAAAAAATTTTAAAAAGTGCTGTAATTTTGGTTTTGCATGTTTATTTGAAAAGGTACACAATTGAAAACAGAAGCAAAAAAGTGGTCAACCACTGCTTTCAAATTCTTAATTCCACTCCTATCCTAATGGTGCGCTGTTATGCTTAAAAGAGAAAAAAAAGTCTCTTCTCTTTTAAGTGAATGAGTTTGGAAAAAGAACAATTGTGTGATTCAAGGACTAAAATATAGAGATGAGAAAGAAATATGTAGGTTGGTGGATCAAGTAAGTTGGGCAACCTTCTAACTTTTACATTTAGATTATTAAGTATGCTTTAATTACTTTTAAATGCTAAATTGCCAAAATATTAGAAGTGCTAGATATAAGCTAAAATGCCCGATACATTAAGCATTTATATTGGGTCAGGAACTATACTAGGTGTTAAAGATACAAAATATCCTGACTCTAGCCTGTACTTACTGTTTGCTCATCATCTTCTGCTTCCCCTTCTAGCACAACACAGTGATACAGCATTCCTGACTCGGTAGCAATCACTAAGATGTTGGGGACACAGGATAAGCAGAGTATAGCACAAGCATCATAACCATAGTTATCTTCAGCAGCAGGATGCATGGGCAATGGGCCCAACAGCTTTCCAATATTCCCAGGACTAATGAAAGGGTGAAAACATATTTGGGAAATGTCAACAGAAGATAACCATGCTCATTCCTGAAAACCATTCTTTTTGTCTGCCTCTAGCTATCATACTCACATTTTCAATGTTGCATATTCCCAATGTCTCCACTTTTTCCCTCCCCACTCATATTCCACTACTGTGGTGGTTTTCTTTTCTTTTTTTTTTTTTTTTGTGGAGAGAGAGAGGGAAAAAGTTTTTTTTTTTTTTTTATTGAATGGTAACTGTGTACATTGATGCACTTTGGGGGTACAGTGTGGTGTTTTCATAGAAAATCCAAGACACTTCCATCAAACTGGTTAACATAGCCTTCATGTAACTTTCTTAGTTATTATGTCAAAACATTCATATTCTACTCATAGAAAGATTCACTTGTACCCTTGCAAGATGAACCACAGAAGTGAACCCTCGAATCCCTCTCCCTCCCCCCTCTCCGCCCTCCCTCCCCCCTCCCTATATCCTTAGGTTGTTATTAGGTTATAGCTTTCATATAAAAAGGTTTAAATTAGTTTCATAATAGGTGTGTGTACATTGGATACTTTTTCTTCCATTCCTGTGATACTTTGCTAAGAAGAACATTTTCCAGCTCCATCCATGTGAACTCTGTGGTGGTTTTCAACTAGAAATATCTTTGTCCTTGAGAGGACACTGGCAGTGTCTAAAGATATTCTGGGTTGTTACAACTGAGGGTTGGGGGAGGTTACTGGCCTCTAATGGGTAGAGGCCAGAGATGCTGTTAAACATTCCCCCACAGGATGGTCCCTACAGCAAAGAATTATTCAGACCTAAATGCATCATGCTTTCACCACTCCACTGAAGCTACTTTGGCAAAGGTCTCCCATGAGATTTGCTAAGTCCAAAAAGCACTTAATTTGACATTTTACTGCATTTATCATTAATTAACAATTACTGCTGCTTGACATCCTTAACACCTATAACAATTCTTTCTTGTAATTTTCTCTCCTTCCTCTCTGAATATACACTTTTCTAATGTCCTTTGCTAATTTCTGTTTCTTCAATATTGCTGTCCTCCATGGGTCTGTTGTAAACCCTCATTTTTTTGCAAAAAAAAAAATGCTCTTCAATGAAAGCGCCTTAAACTATGCCTGGTTTTAACTATCACCTGTGTTCTGATGATGACTCCCAAACCTTTTCTTCTGAAATGTAGCTTTTCTTCAGGGCTTTGGACCAACACAGTTAATTTGATTAGGCAGAGACATTTAGTCCCAATGAACTGAGTTTTCTGGTGAGGCAGACATTTAACCAGAATTACTATATCATGTGGTTAAGTGTTAACAACAAAAGGCATAAGAACACTGAGGTAAGTAATAAAGGTATCAAAAATACATAAGATAAATAAGGAAAGAATGATATTTGGAGAGGGGAACTGAACATTCCATACTGGGAAGCAGCTTATGCAAAAGTCCTGGAAGCATGAAAGACATGGAACTAAGAGGAAGGAAACTTACTTAGTATGATGAGGGGCAAAGTGCAACGTCTAAGGCAACAAAATAATAGCTAGACAGATATCTAGGACTGGCTTATGAAACAGATGGTCTTGTGTGCCATGTTAAAGTATTCAGAGTCTATCTGCTGGGTGAGTGTATCCCTATGGGTTTAAATCAAGTGACAAGAGCTCCACTTTGCAAAGATCAACCTGGTATTAGTAAAATCAATCTGGTATTAGTAAGGTGGATGACATAGAAGGGTCCAAAATGTGATTCAAGGAACTATTCAAAGAATGATCTAGGCAGAAAATGATGAGGTTCTGAAACAGGGACAAAGGAAAGGAGAGAAGAGTATATACATTCAAGAAATTTAAGCTAGATGGCTCATGCCTGTAATCCTTTGGGAGGCCAAGGTGGGAGGATCACTTGAGCCCAGGAGTTCAAGATCAGCCTGGTTAACATCACAAGACCCCATTTCTACAAAAAAATTTTTAAAAAATAAAAAATGAACCAGGCATAGGGACACACGCCTAGCTACTTGGAAGACTGAGGCAGGAGGATCATGTGAGTCCAGGAGTTGGAGGCTACAGTGAGCTGTTTTTGTGCCACTGCACTGCAGCCTGGACGACAAAGCAAGAACCCATCTCTTAAAATAAAGTTGTTTCTTTATTGTATCAGTAGCAATTTGGGACTGATCATATATTAAAAGATATAGATGACTTTTGGGTTTGATCTAAGTTTATTAGGAAGATTATGCTAGGGACAAATGAAGGCCCAGCGGTAAGAGAAGGAAGGGTAAGTGAGGGTAATAACTGTACCACAAAATCCTCCAGAGACAGGAGACGTATGAAAGGCAAAGAGAATGCATTTAGTCCTAACCATTCTGCAATGGCAAGCTCTTTCATATTTTCTAATCTTTATCACTTTGTATACTCTGTTCTCTCTTGCAGGACCACTTCTGCTTCTGTCTAGTGAATTCCTCAAGTCATTTCCTCTAAGTCTTCCAAGATTGGCAGATCTAATCATTAACTCCATCAGACTTGTTACACTGTACTATAGTTACTGATTTAGTTGTATGGTCTTGTGATGGACAGGGAACCACATAGCAGGGACCTTGCCTTCAATCTGGTCTTTCTTCTGCCACACAGTAGGCTCTGAATTAAGTATCTGCCAGGTTGATGTGTAAGTGAATATACTCTAAAGTTTGGTCCGTGGCTTTATGCCTCCGTAGTTTCACAAATTTCCCCAAAATTCTTATCCTCTATTAACTATCTCACTGTGGCAGATTCTCTTATCTCTGTTTTTATCTTCCTTCATTGTCCTGTATCTCCAACTGTTCATGGAAAATTTCTACTTTATTGGTCCAATACTGTCAAACACTGACTATTTGTAAAACAAACCAAAAAAACTTCCTTTCTAGACCTCAATATTTCTGTAAATGATGCACTCTCTTATCCAAACAGTAATGAAGTCTTCTTGATCTTTCCATTGTAATTATCTACTGTATTTCATTTCTACTTTGTACTACCACCACTCTAGTGCAAACTCTCATGGACTATAAGCTTTATTTTGTAATAGCTTAATTTTTCATTTTATTTATTTATTTATTTTGAAACAGTCTCGCTTTGTCCTCCCTGGTTGAGTGCATGGTGTCAAAGCTCATAGCAACCTCAGACTCTTGGGCTCAAGGGATTCTCTTGCCTCAGCATCCCAGGGGCTGGGATTACAGGTGCCTGCCACAATCCCTGGCTACTTTTAGAGACAAAGTCTTGCTCTAGCTCAGGCTGGTCTCAAACTCATGAGCTTAGATCAGTGGTTCCTTTAATACAGTTTCTGTGGGTCGCTGGCTTAGATGATCCACCTGCCTCAGCCTCCCAGAGTGCTGGGATTATAAGCATGAGCCACAGCACCTGGCAACAGCTTTATTTTTTAAGAAGCAAGGTCTCACTCTCTCATCCAGGATATAGTAGAGTGCCACAGTCATAGCTCATTGTCACCTCCTAACTCCTGAACTCAAGTAATTTTCCTGGCTTGGTCTGCCAAGTAGCTTGGACTACTGACATATACCACCATGCCTGGCTAATTTAGAAAAAACAATTTTTTTTTTAGAGATAAGGTTTTGCTATATTATCTAGGCTGGTCTCAAACTCCTGGCCTTGACTGATTGTCCTTGCCTTCCAAAGTGTGGGATTTATAGCCATGAGCAACTGTACCCAGCTCTAGCCTTATCATTTAAATGCTCCCCACATGAATCCTCTGGTATAGCTCAAAATGTCTAGTCATTAAACCCTGAATGATACTTGCACTTGCTTGTTTTTTTTCTTTTTTGCAGTTTTTGGCCGGGGCTGGGTTTAAACCTACCACCTCTGGCATATGGGGCCGGTGCCTACTGCTTTGAGCCACAGGCGCCGCCCTGCACTTGCTTGTTTTTATACTCTATTCTGCCCTTGTGAAATGGTCTGACACTTCTTTGATGCTTCATTTGATCCTGCATGAGACTTTTAAGTCCCATGAGGTATCAATCTTTCTTTATGAAAATTTTCAACTTCTCCAGTCAGCATGCTCTCTGTCCTTCCTCTGGGTTCTTACTTTCTTTGTACCAATACTGTGTTATAGGTAATTAATCTTCCCATGTACAGATGGCTTTTTCCTTACTATTAGGATATAAGGTAATCAGATTACCATGTCTAATCATCCTTATGGTGCTTTGCTGATGTAAAATAAACAAGAAGTACTTTTTCAGCTAACTAGACTTTGTAAATACAAATCCAGTCCTATCTCGAGTGATTATCCACTGATTCTATACAACTTACCCAAATATGAAGATATGAAAGGCCAAGTGATTAATATCAACTCTTTCTCCAACATATGCAAGCCCATCAGCTAAAGGCTATGACACTTCCCCCAAGTCAACAACAGAGATACCAAGTCTAACCATGACAATCTCTACTGGAGGACAAACTGAATTTTCATTATAGGTGGGGTGCCCCCTCAACTTACCTGTGTAGCAGACTAACATATGTCAGGAAAGTCTCCCCATTCTCATACAAGATATAGAGTGGGTATGCCACTACTTCATCTTTGCCTTTTTGTCCAAAAATATTCTTTGGGACTGCTGCCAATGGCCCAAAGTCAAATGCAACTGCTGTCTCTCCTAGAGATGCGGTATATGCCCTTCTGGAAAGAAATTTAAAATATGAATGTGTTGAAAACAAAACTGAAAGCAAAATGTCTAAGAACAGGAGGTGGGTTATGTATGGAATTTGTATTCAATGGAGTAAGACAAAAAATAACATTATAAAGAATGTTAACACTGGAAAATTATCATAAAATTAAGAAAAAATGGAACCGAAAAAAAGCTGTATAGCCAAGGCAATTCTTAACAAAAAAAAAAAAAAAGAAAAGAAAACCGGGGGTATCACCCTGCCAAACTTTAGGCTATACTGTAAGGCCATAGTGATCAAATAGCATGGTACTGGCACAAAAATAGAGACACTGACATTGGAACCTAATAGAAAACCATGAGCTGAAACTAACATCTTATACCCACCTGAGTTTTGATAAACCAAACAAGAACATACTAGGGAAAAGAACCCCTATTCAATAAATAAAGGGTGTTGGGAAAACTGGTTGACCACATGTAAAAGACTAAAACTGGACCCGCACTTCTCACCACTTACAAAAATTGACTCAAGATGTACAAAAGATTTAAATCTAAGGCATGAAACAATAAAAATCCTTGAAGAAAGTATAGGGAAAACACTTGAAGATACCAGCTTGGGGAAGATTTTTATGAAGAAGACTTCATGGCAATTGCAACAACAAAAATAAACAAATGAGACTTAATTAAACTAAAAAGCTTCTGTACAGCTAAGGAACCAACAACAAAAGAAATAGACAACCTTCAGCACGGGAAAGGATATTTACATATCATGAATAGGACAAAAGCTTGATAACCAGGATCTATAGAGAACTCAAATTAATCAATTAAAAAAGAGGCAACAGGGCGGTGCCTGTGGCTTAAAGGAGTAGGGCCCTGGC